TTGATTGTGTGGATCACAACAAATTGTGGCAAGTTCTTAAAGAGATGGGAGTACCAGACCATCTTATTTGTCTCTTGAGAAACCTATATGCGGGTCAAGAAGCAACAGTGAGAACTGGACACGGAACCACTGATTGGTTCAAAATTGGGAAAGGAGTCCGGCAAGGCTGTATTCTGTCACCCTGCCTATTTAACTTATACGCAGAGCACATCATGAGAAAGGCAGGGCTAGATAAATCAAAAGTTGGGATTAAGATTGCTGGGAGAAATATCAACAACCTAAGATATGCAGATGATACCACTCTAATGGCAGAAAGTGAAGAGGAACTAAAGAGACTCTTGATGCGGGTGAAGAAGGAGAGTGCAAAAGTTGGCTTGAAACTCAACATTAAGAAAACCAAAATCATGGCATCCGGCCCTCTCAATTCCTGGCAAATGGATGGGGAAGAAATGGAGGCAGTGACAGATTTTATCTTCCTGGGCTCCAAGATCACCTCAGATGGGGACTGCAGCCAAGAAGTTAAAAGACGCTTGCTCCTGGGAAGGAAAGCTATGGCAAATCTAGACAGCATACTAAAAAGCAGAGACATCACCCTGCCAACAAAAGTGTGTATAGTCAAGGCCCTGGTTTTCCCAGTTGCAATGTATGGCTGTGAAAGTTGGACCAAAAGAAAGGCTGAGCGACAAAGAATTGAGGCCTTTGAACTATGGTGCTGGAGAAGACTCCTGCGAGTCCCTTGGACTGCAAGGCATTCAAACCCGTCAGTCCTAGAAGAGATCAACCCCGACTGTTCTTTAGAAGGCCAGATCCTGAAGTTGAAACTCAAATACTTTGGCCACCTAATGAGAAGGAAGGACTCACTGGAGAAGAGCCTAATGCTGGGAAAGATTGAGGGCAATAGAAGAAGGGGACGACAGAGAATGAGGTGGCTGGATAGAGTTACTGAAGCAGTAGGCGTGAGCTTAAATGGACTCCAGAAGATGGTAGAGGACAGGAAGACCTGGAGGAACATTGTCCATGGGGTTGCGATGGGTCGGACACGACTTCGCAATTAACAACAACAAAGAATTCTAGTAATGATGCTAATTCATTGCTTTATGTGTGTTTCTGTCTTTCAGTCAGTTCTTATTTCTAGTGATTGCCTGATAAACCCCTGCAGTTTTCTTGGCAAAGTATTTTAGAAGCGCTTTGCCATTATCTTCTTCCTAGGGCTGAGAAAGAGTCACTTGTCCAAACTCGCTCAGGTGCATTGTACTTACAGTCCCATGATTTTTAGCTGGTGCTTTAACCATTAGAATAAGCTAGCTTTCAATTCATTTATTAATTGATGCTTTATTAAAATTATATGTTAATTTATTGTTTCACATTCTTTTATATCACATTCTGTTTAAATGTTGTGGGTGCAATGGTTTCAACAAAGAGCTTACTTTATTATGCTGTTCTTGTATTATAGTATTTATTGCAGGCATGTAAGCATTTTTTTAATATTAGGAAATCTTCATTGACAGTTTTTGCACAGGGAAGTAGCATGTCTTCTGTGTATAGTAAGCTGTAAATCAATATTTTTATATTTGAATTAAGGGACAATTGCAAAGAAAGACTTTGGTTCAAAATCTTGAAGAACTACTGGAAAAATGATTATCTCTTTCATTTAGAGATGCTAAGCCATTCCTCCCTCCCTGCAGAGTGAACAGATTGAAGAGAAAGGGATTATAAAAGAGTAATCAGGCATGCAATGGGGAATACACTGGGCTATTTGCCTATGGCTCATGCTGGTGGCTGCTAGTAATCCCTTTCTCTCCAATGAATTAATTTCCTTTTTGCTAATTATTCCAGTACCAGAGGGAACATTCCAAATAGCAGGAGAGTAATTAGGAGAGAAACAAGCTGAAGGTGTGAAACTGATTGATCTAGCAGTTATTCCAGTGACAGGATGAGTATTCCAAAAAGTGAGGGATTGGAGAAAAGGAAAGTTGCAGCTTAATGACAGAGCTACTGCTCCCAATTGTGGTCTACAAATGAGGACTACTTGTACTTATCTGGAACAGTAGCACTTTGGATAGTAATCTGTGCATTCACATGTACACAACCCATTTGGAATAGTTAGAAGTTAACAATTGTTGGGTTAGAGCAGGGGTGTCAAACTGCTAGCCCACGGGACGGGTGCGTCATGTCGAAAGTGCGCCCACTCCATTGCCGGCAATGGAAAAAAAGTCACGATATGTTGCGACACATCATGTGATGTTGCAAGTTTGACACCCCTGCGTTGGAGGCTCACCAACATGCCTTGTCAACATTACGTGACAAGGCTTGGTTCTTGCCAATTCCTTTAACAGCTTTATGCTCCATAGTTAACAATTTAGTCTTGGAAATTTACCAGCAAACAATAAAGATATTTCAACGCATGCTAATGTAGAATCCCCAGGAGAGCCCGCTATACTATCTTCACCTCAACATTGTAATCCAGATTTCAGGATTTTATTCAGAAAAACTATACGGTGACAAGGGAGCTGAATCGCCCTTGGGCTTATGAGTGTATAACACATTAAAACCAGATCTCTCTCTTCCACATAGGAATGCATTGGATTTATCTGATACTGAAACATTGCCACATATACTATGTGGCTATCCAGTGTCAATATCAAAGATAGAAGGCTCTTTAACTGCCAGATTTGACTTTTGGGGAGTTCAACTCCACAAAGAATAGAAATATTTCCCTATCTTGAAGTCTAACTCCCAGAATTACTAATGATTCCATCTTGTTTGATTTCACCTTTGAATGCCTCTTCAGTGTGCAATCCATTGTAACCTGGACACATGTAGAGGCACTACCCAAAACTTTCAGGAAAGAACTGTTTTCTAAAGGCAGTGTGTACTGTGTGAGCAATGAGAAGTGAGATTTGTCTGAGGATTTTGTTGCAAAGGAAACTCTTGCATATGTAACAGAAAATGGGTAATGTGATACCTCTTCCATTAGCCACTGAATGCCCTGGCAGCATTCCAAAATTATGAATCAATTGAAAGATGAGGAGCATGAATGAATGAAGTATTGTAGCTAGGTGCCTAAACTTATGGATGGAGTTTATGCTTTGATTTTCATATCAAAAGCCTTGCATTTAAAAAGTTTTGATACTTAAATTTTGTACCTGAAATAAGACAATGTTATTTAACATCAAGATCAAGTTCTATATACTGTAAATATTTTAAGTCATGCCTGAAACAATCAAATTAAATTACAATATGAAATTAGAATATTTCCTTTATAAAGCAGAATTTTAATATAACTTTTTAAAATGTACATACCCCAATGATATTTTTTTCTGTAGAAGTGAATATAAACACAAAGTTAGAAAATGGTTCTGTTCTTGGCTATCAATTTTTACAAAGGTCATAACTTTTTTGAAATAGATGGTACAAAAATTAATTTACCTCAGATTATGTAACTTTCATACAGTTTGTGTTTTTACAGTGAGAGAAAAACGGAAGAGCCTCTACATGAACCATGTAAGTGAAAAAAATGATTTAGCTAAGTGGCATGTTTAAAATATACAGTAAAACATACTGATCTCTGAATCTCCATTATGTAGATTTGAAAAAAATGAACTAAATTATACTTAAAACTTCATATGTAAGCAGTGGATAAAGCTTGTTCCTTCCAGAGGGATTTGAAATTTAATGTTATTTGTGTCATTATATAATTGGTTTTTACATCATCAATGTTATATAAATCATTTATATAATTATTCAGATGATATATAAAGCAATTACGTAAATTAGGTCAGTTATATAAATATGGATCTAAAACCCTTACTAGTCAGAATATCAACCAAGAATGCAGTGTTTGCAGTGTAAAATAATTTTTATGGATATTTTATGCCTGAAAAAGAGGCATTAATTAAAGAGTCAAAATTTTGGGGCCAATAGATATGTTCATTATAATAGTCTGTAGATTTCAGGTCTACATTCAAACATTACATGGTTCTGTCTCCCCCCCCCCCCCATTTAAGTTATTGTTTGTTAGATGCCATTCATTATAAGCTTAATAAGTATTCTGTTACTCGTGGGGATCTTTGTGTTTTATTTTTGCCTATTGGTTGTCAGATCACAAAGGAACAAATATAGGTCCATATCAGTAGGAGAATATTCAGGACCTATGGTGTTCATAGCTGGACCATTTCCACATTCCAAATGTCAATTAAAACTCCAATATGGTAACAAGAGTATTTCAGTCCCTAAGATCTTTCCATCTGAGATAGTGAATCTTTCCCTTTCTATAGTCAGTAGATTTTCTTGGGTTGGCCTTGAGTATGGCCTTCATTGCCATGGCAGCTAACCATTCCTAATCCTCTCCTAATATGGAAATTTTCTATGTTGTCCTTCCCAAATAATCAGCTTATGTAAAGTTAACATCATCCCCAAAACATTCTCAGAAAAATTGGATAGAGAGATTTGTTTTGCTGATAACTATTGAAGTTCAGTAGCACACAACAGCTGGCCAAAGCTGGTCCCCCCGCTTGGTCAAGGTAATGAAATCCTGAGGTTTGGCTCTTCTTGGGTTGGCTTCAGTAAGACCTTCATTGCCATGGGAGCTAACCATTTATGATCCTCTCCTAATATGGAAATGTTGTATATTGGCTTCCAAAATAACAGCTTGCATGATGCATCATCCCCCAAAACAATCTCAGGAAAACCGGATAGGGAGATTTGTTTTGCTGACACCATTGAACTTGAATAGTAGACAACAGCTGGTTAAAGCTGGCCATGCCGCATGGTCAAGGTAATGATATCCTGAAGTTTGAATCTTCTTGAGATGGCCCTGAATAAAGGCCTTCATTCCCATGGCAGCTAACCATTCTTGAGCCTTCTTCTATGGAACTGTTGCATATTGACCTTCCAAATTAATGGCTTGCGTGATCATCCCAAAACAATCTCAGGAAAATCGGATATGGACATTTATTTCGCTGATACCATTGAATTTCAATAGCACACAAGAGCTGGCCAAAGGTCGGTGTGCTCATAGTCAAGGTAATGAAATCCCGAGGTTTGGATCATCTTGGGTTAGCCCTGAGTAAGGCCTTCATTGCCATGGCAGCTAACCATTCTTGATCCTTTTCTAATGAGCTGGTGCATGTTGACCTTCCAAATTAATGGTTTGCGTGATTATCCCCAAAACAATCTCAGGAAAATCGGATAGGGAGATTTGTTTTGCTAACACCATTGAACTTCGGTAACACATAACAGCTGGCCAAAGCTGGTCGGCCCGCATTATCAAGGTAATAAAATTCTGATATTTAGAGTCTCTGAAATAATTTGATTTTAAATAAGCATTGCATGATTCTCTTCTCATAGTATTTCCTTATCCTTTCTCAGTTTTTGGATCAGAATTGGGAGACCCAGGTTCAAGTCCAACTTCAGCCCTGGAAACTGACTAGATGGTTTGGGGCTCAGTCGCTCTCTTTCAGTGACTTCACAGGTTGCTGTTCTGAAGAAAACTACCAGAGGGCATGCTATGTATGAGACTTCAGCCTGCTAGAAGAAAGGCAGGATAGAAATCAAATCAAATTGCAGTCAATTTAATATCCATAATTTCCCATCAAACTTTAGGCAGGATTGGTAGTCTTTGAGTGTCTACATGTCATAAGTACCATGTTTCAGAAAATGAGGACTGCAGTCCACAGGATGCAAAATGGATGGAACAGGGTCCATCTACATGGACAGAATTTGGATTTTAGGGTTGTTAGTGTTAAACTTGTGTTACATTTTACAGTGAAGCCCTTTAGTTTCAGCTGAAAATAACAAGAAAGTATTTGCTCCTTTTTGGTATCTACTTGGTCAAGGGCTACCGCACATGGCTTAAGAGCTTCCAATGATGCATTCCTTTCAGCAGTCTGTTGCAGACAAAGCAAGTTGGTTCTGCTGGTACGATTCCAATCCTGCTATTTCTTGTTCTTTCAAATGCAACCTGCACTTTTAAAAGGAAATGTGAAAAGCATAACAGGTGCTCAATGTTTGGCACCATATAGGTGCATTAGGGGGAGGGAAGTCCTGTTCTACTAGTGATGGAATACTATGTCATTTTTTAAATATTTTATACAGGCTTTAATTTTACTTTAAACCAGTGTTTCCCAAAGTGTGTTAAAATATATAAAGCTTGGGAGAAGAAAGTACCACTCTAAGGCTAATATAACATTCTTCCTGAAGACCACAAGAAATTGTTTCCCATTCCCTTGATTACATTTCCCAAATTTTGATTCACAACTGTAGGTCTTTTGGCAGCTTCTTTTATCATACTCTTTTGAAGTAACATTCTCACATTTTTAGCAAGATTTATTGAGATCAAAGAGAAGAGGTTACCAGCATTTTAACAGCTGAACTATTTCCCATGTGAAGTGAACTTATCCTCTGATTCATTACCCAAGAGAATTTATTTTTTTTCTAAGAGACTTCCTGAAATCCAGTCAGAAGCAGTTTTTTTTCACTGATAACAGAGGAGCTTGCAGCTGGGTGTCTACGGAGATTCTCAATCATCCAGGTCATGGTAGTCCCAAAGGTACTTTTTCCAAAAGCCAACAGGACTTTCTTGGGGTTTTTTCTTTGAAAACATTTTGCTTATCATCCAAGAGAACTAAATATGTTTTCTGAATAAAAAGCAAAATGTTTTCAAAGAAAAAAACCAGGGAGGTCCAGTTGCCTTTTGGAAAAAGAACCTTAGAATTTGCTGCTGGTTTAACAGAACAGAATAACAGAGTTGGAAGAGATCTTGGAGATCTTCTAGTCCAACCTCTGATCAAACAGGAAACTCTATACAATATCAGACAAATCGTTGTCCAATCTCTTCTTGAAAACCTCCAGTGATGGAGCACCCACAACTTCTGGAAGCAAGTCGCTCTGTGGATTAATTTTCTGTCAGGAAATTTCTCCTTAATTCTAAGTTGGTTCTGTCCTTGATTAATTTCCCTTCATTGCTTCTTGTTTGGATGCTTTGGAGAATATGTTGACCTGCTGTTCTTTGTGGCAGCCCCCTTATATATTGGAAGATTGCTATCGTATCACATCTAGTCCTTCTTTTCATTAAACTAGACATACCCAATTCTTGCTGATTGATATATGGATTATGTGCCACCAAGTCTTTGTCAACTTGCTGCTGTTCTTCCTCTTCTTCTCCTTCCTACATCTTTTCCAAGCTCACAACCTTCTCTAGACAATTAGGTCTTTGCATAATGTGTCCACAGGAAGGTGTACCCATAACCATGTTTTAAATCTTTATCAGTCATGCCATCTTTCCCCAGTCTCATGGCCCCAGAAGTATTGTGCAAATTAAGCATGAGCCAGCAGTTTAGAAAGATCTAAACATGAAATAAAGAGGAATTTACTGGACCGTGAAGTTATTAACCCTAGACTCATAGAAGTTCCATCACTGAAGGTTTCCAGGCAAAAGGTGAACAGCAGCGGGTTGTGATCTATGGTTAGAGAATGCCTGCCTTAGGCAGGGTTGAAGTAAAACAACTTTCCTATGATTGGCAAAGTAGAATGTTGGGCCCTAGGACGTGTAATGGGCCCAAATTCATGTAATGATTAAGATGGCACATCACAGTAAAGTTGACTTAAGCATGTCTTATTGGGTAAGCCAGAATTGATTCAGATTGCACAACCTGGTAAGTCATTAAGCCATAGTTGATAGACCACAATGACTCAATTCACAATGACTCAATTCACACACAACATGCTAAGCCTCAAATTACACTAGTGTTGTATGAACCTAAGTTCTTGTTCCTATCTTTTGTCATTATAATTTAAGTAAGCCCCCCCCCCCCAAAAGCGCCAGATTAAAATCTTGTTCAGAATATTTCTATGATATTTTTTCACCTTCTGAATATAGGATATACAGTACAAAGATGAACCCTGTTAAGCTAGCATAATGTTGATGAGAAAAAATTATGATGGTTTCATATCTCCCTTTCTTTTATCTGATGGCAGAAGCCTGTGTTGTGCTGTTAAATTAAAAAGCATTAATTCCAGATTCTCATCAGCCATATGCAAGCATACGATATATTTTCTGTTTTATCCTCCATTATGAACCCTCCATTATGTAAGAATGTACATCTTGTTTCATTCATATATAGGGGCTCTACCCAACTATTTCACTTTGAAGAATAAACTGATATATTGCAAATAACCTTTTCATTTGAACAAAGAGCAAAGAAAGAGTAACTACTGTGTAATTCTCTCTGATTTTTGCCAGGTTATGTTGATTTGAATGTATCTATGCATCTGCTAGAGATCAAGAAAAGCTATTTATTGAATTACTGTTTTTTAGAAATAAATAATGTTGGCATTGTGTGACTGATACTGGTTTTTTGTATGCTTTCTTTTTTTCTAGCATCCTCATGGTCAACTGAGAAGGAAGTACAGTTCCTGTTCCACTATTTTTCTGGATGACAGCACAGTCAGTCAGCCGAACCTCAAGTATACAATTAAATGGTAAGTATGGCAGCATTCCATTGTATATATACATAAAGAGATATACATATACACATACATAACATACATTGTTTTGCATTGTTTCTGAATATTGCTTCCAACAAATAGAAAATAGAACTCCTAATATGGATTGTCCTTGCTTAATGACCATTTGTTCAGTGACCGTATGAAGTTATGACAGTGCCAAATTATGACAAAGCCCATGGAGTTATGGCCATGGCAGCATGCCCATAGTCATGTGATCAAAATTCAGGTGCTTGGCAGTTTACCTACACTTACAGCTGCAGGGACACTTTAACTCCTCTTCCTGTTTCTTTCCCCCCCGTCCTCTCTGCCCTTTGGCCATCCTAAACTCTATGACTTCTCTGTCTTCCTTGGACAAGGGTGCTCATGGCTTCTGGAAGAAGGTCTGACACGACCAGGATCTGCCTTGTGAAAAGTCGGGGACATTGTCAGCAGTGGGGGGAAGAAAGTGTAGGGCAACAGGATTAGTGAAGTACAGGCATGCCAAAAGAGCAGAGATAGCAGGGAGGTAATTAGATGGAAGGGTTGAAGAGGAGGCTTCCCTTCCCTTACCAAAACGGGCTGGGAGAAATGGCATGGATTGGGGTGGATCCTCACACCAATCCCACTGGGTGGGATTTATTTAAGGACCAAAGTGGGGATTGCCAGCCTTTAGCATTACGGTCACATGACATCACGCTTTATAACCATATTGCTTAATCATGGAAATTCTGGTCCCAATTAGCATTGTTAAACAAGGATTACTTGTAAATGGTTGCAGAAATACTCTGAGGTTTATCTACAGATCTGATGTAGTGGAAAAGAGTGGAATGATTAGGATTGGGGGGAAAATAATAAAACACATTTTTCTCACTTTTCCTTCAGTTTCAAATATAAGTAAGGATATAGAGGGCACTAAATGTGTTGCCACACAAATCCTTATAGTTTAAATTAGAGAAGCTCTGAAACACATGCCTCTTCTTGAAAGTTTTTCTATTGTGCTAAGATTGCAGTTGAATTTTTAAAATATGTAAGTTTAAAATTGGCAATTTTCTTAGGGAGACAGTATTTGGAGATCTGTTAATGAGTTCAAACATATTTTCTTCTTGCCTTCCTTCCTGTTTGTTAATGCCACAGCTGCAAATATATTTTTGTTTTTAGTTAACAATCCCAAAACAATTTTGTGTCCTTGAATTAATCTAAGATTTTACTTTTGAGTTTGTTCTGATGCATTTTTGTCTTTTTTTTTTAATTTTCAAATGCTGAGATACTTTTGGAACTGCCTGGTTGTTATGATAACCGTTTCTTTTTATACTGCAGCTTTGAAGGTCATTATTATGACTGCCTTGATAGATACAAATGTACCACCAAGGAGTAGTTCTCATCGTTTTTAGTTGTGCTTGTGTATGGCACAGATATCACCAACAGCAGTCAATGCTTTGATAATTGGCTCAGAGTTTCAATCTTTATGTGAACGCAGATGTATTCCAGGCAAAAACCTCAAAATCAGATTAAAATTCTCTATATATTTTTATTTTGCACAATTGTGTCTCACAGTTTTCCTAGCATTCAAATTTTAACATACTGCTTTTACAAAAAATGGTATGAATTTTCATAAGGGCCACAAATATTTCTGCCAGTGATTTTTGAAATCCCATGAAAGATAAATTATTATATAATTGGAACATGCTTCTCTCTTTATTTATATGTCATAGAATTATGATTATGATTATGAATTATGATTTTCTTCTGAAAAAGCTGTATAACCATTCTTTTATGGTTATTTATTAGTTGGATATTAGAAATCTAAAAAAAAAACACTGAATAATTGATAAGGCACCGTAGCAAATAGACATAATGAAAATCTCTTTGATTATTCAAATTGTCAATTTTCACCACACTATTTATGTAGACACGTACTTTTTCTCCAAAATATTAATATCTTTCCTGGTATTTCTCTGTGACTGTATTGACTTGCCATTCTCACTGTTCTGACACCCAGTGGACTTTATCAAACAAAGTCCCTTATTTCTTATCCTTGTTGCCTTATCGCTTTCATCCATTCAGAATTTGTTCTTATATTTATTGACTCCTTTAGTTTTAGAGCTTCCTCACTTTCAGAACTTGCTGTTTTTGTCATTCCTACTTCTTTAATTTCCTGCAAAACAATCTACTATCGCTCCACTTTGTTTCTTTTCTTGTTTCCAATTTTGGATCCTTTTTGCATCCTCCAAACTTACTCTGTTAGTTTTTATAATCTATCCAAGTTGCAGAGCTATAGATAAATGTGGCAACTGTTTTGCCACAATGATGCTCCTCAAAAGTTCTGACATTTTTGATGGTCTTAATGTCCTTCTCTCCTTTGAGTTCTTCCTTTAAAACTCTACTTTTTTATAGATATGATTGGCCTGAATTTTTATAGATATAATAATATAATAATAGCCTGGTTTTTTCTAGTTGTAATAATAGTCTGAAAAGGCTATTTATATGGAATTATGTAGGGGCAGCACTAGCCCCAAAGGAGGATTATCTTAGGCAATGAACACTAGTGCTCAACAATGTCAGCCCCCTCTGTTTTATCAGAACAACATCTCATAAAGTCTACAAATGACGACTACTTGTACTTATCTGGAACAGTAGCACTTTGGATAGTATAAATGATGAAAAGAAATATCCATTTTAAACATTTTTTTTGTTTATTTAATCTAATTTATATAGCCACCTATGTTAAGACAAATGATTGGATGGAATAATTATTCTTGTTTTCAGGCAATAAAATGCCTTGATCTTGTCCTGTATAGTTGAATGCATTCAGTACAGTTTGTTACAGATTATTATTTTCTGTTGTTGATCCTCATTCTCTCTTTTGGTAAGAAAATTGGTTGAATTTGTCCCTCAGAAATATGACTTAGTCGTAAAGCTTATGTTCAATATGTATTAAGATACTAACTCTGCATTTTCTTTTACAGCGTAGCTCTTGCAATATACTACCATATCAAAAACAGGTAAGCTTGAATTTGAAAATGGTTCAAATACTAATTTGTTGTTTTTCCCCCCTATTTTTTAATTTCACTGCCTTATAAGATAGTTTGCAAAGCAGGGCTACTTGATGAATATTCAGTGTTATTGCATATGTTGCCTTGAATATGTTGTAATCAGAACTCAAACAGTACATACCCTTTCCACACAAGGGTGTTCTGGATGACCAGTGATAGTCAGTGATGAAGAAAGACCCACATAATGGATCATGCCCATTTGGTTCCATAATCCCAAATCCCAGAAGAAACTAGAGGAACTATTCTAATGGCCTCATGGATGAAGACTTTAAAGTATAGCTGATCTATATTAAAACTCAAAGTTGATATAAAATATATTTTTTAAAAAAATAAACCTTAGTAACCTTCATGTTTCCTTGCATAGTTCTTTTATTTTATTTTAAAGAATCTTGACAAAATCAGTAGATAGAATACAGAGGTGCAAAGGGGATATAGACAAGACTCTAAGCAGTAAGTTACATGGATGTAACTCAAAACCAACATCCTTATCCCATATTGCCATTCATGTAGTAAGTCTAAGATGCATAGATCTCTCCAATGTTTGGGTACTGGTGATCAGATTTGGAATGTTGACACATGCACATACAATTGTGCAAAGCTTTTAATTAAATATATAATTTTATTTTAATGCCTTTACTATTTTTTACCTGATAATTAATTGTTGCATTGGTGAACAGATGACCACATTTTCAACCAAAACTGTAGAGTACAACTATCCATTTAATTTGTTAAAAACCAAATGCATTGTGGAGCCTAATGGGCAGCATAGATATTGTTTGTAGACACATTGATGCTCATAGTCACCACAGCTATAACTGGCAGCCATGGGAAAATATAAAACACTAAAATCCTTTGGTTCCCCAAGCCACTTCTGTCCTTCTGTCATGAAATTATATGGATCTTTCCAGGTGATCACCACTTAGCTCATTTCAAAAGAGTACCTTTTAAAATTCATTTGAAGCCCATCTCTAAATGGAACATAATGTTACTGAACTAGCATTCATGGAGTGTGAACAGAAGATAACAGTTACACTGCCTAGAATCTTCCCGTCCTTTCAAGATTCTTCTGCCCCATTTACTGCGTTATGTAGGATGCAAAATGCAACCTAAAGACAGGTGTTGTGACCTTAATTTTGAGGACTCAGGAGAAAAGCTGGACACAAGTAGTCAACAAAGAAGACTAGTATTTTTTTTAAAAGCTGCTTTTTTCTGAATCTGATTATTGGTGTCCCAGCATGATGTGCATGTGCCCTCTACTGTTATCTTGAAAGCATTGTAACATTCCCTAATCAGTAGCCATCTAGCCATGTAAGATAGAACCATCTAAGTTCAACCAAAAGTCTAATTTACATTCTTTCTCTGGAATCATCAACCACATGCCTATTGAAAGTTCACCAGCAGTCTATGAAGGCAACCATTGCTGCTAAGCAATTATTTTGTGTGATGGAACAAATCGCTGTTTTGTGACAACTGACCCCAATAATTATATTTTAGTGATACTACTTACATTGGTATCTAATGAAAGCAATGGATGGCAGAAAGTTTAAAAGCTAGGTTTGTTTTTGATAAATTCTTTAAAGTGCATTCTTGTTCCTATCCTCCATCCGTCCCATCCCCTAGTTGATAGGGGAGCTATATGTAAGTAAAGTAAAATTATACATTCAGTGATGGGTCCAAACTAGTTTAGGGTCCTAGGGATGGGTTAGAAATGGCTTTGGATTCCCAAAAAGGGTATAGACCAATCTATAAAAAACACCATTGAGTTGAAAGAAAGAAAAAGCTGTACTGTGTTGCCCCTATCCAGTCAGTAAGATGGCATTGAGACTCACTCTTTCATTCCATCAAGGATTGATCTTGTTAATTTTATATTAAAAATTCAAAACAACTTTCATTTTTGGGATAAAGAGATTTCACTCTTTTTCATATTCTGTGTAGAGTGAGCTTAACTAAGTGCCATACTTCTTTGCTTGACTGTGGCTGTCACATCTGGAGAGTTTAGCTCTATATGTCCTTCAAGTCTAAATAGTTTGGTATATGAGTAAGGGCTGATTCATTTTTTTCTGGCATGGCAGAAAAAGGACAAATATAGACAATCTAGTTTTCAATATAGTCATTACTCCCCTACCAAGATGGTAGATCCTGTTAGTGTGGCTCCTTTTTACATGCCACAGGATGGGACCATGTCCTAGATCAGCCATTTTTGTAAACCTTTGATAAGTGTTTCTATCCATTTCTGTTTGTTCAGTAACATTACTATTGATTCTTTTCTTTTCTTTCCCCCTTTCTAGGGACGTAAATGGAACTATGCTCCTAGATATTTTTGATGAAAATCTCCACCCACTTTCGGTAAAGCTCAGTTACATAAGGACACTAACGAAAGTTTGGAATTCATGATATGGATTCTGCTACTTCTCCGCCCTTTATATCTGCCACTTCTTCCCAAATTATGTGTAACATATTCTCATTTTTAATAATATTATTTCCCCAGAAATCTGAAGTGCCACCAAATTATGACAAACATGAACCTGAACAGAAGCACATTTATCGCTTTCTTCGCACATTGTTCAGTGCTGCTCAACTAACTGCCGAATGTGCAATTGTCACCCTGGTGAGTATACAAAAGATCATGATTGGTCCTTAAAATACAACTAATTTTAGATCATCAGTTTAAGATTTGTATTTGGAATTAAGATCACATATCAGATTCACCTACCCATGACTTCATGTATGAAAGAGGAAAGACAAGATACATATAAATACTTAAAGATACATTTAGCTTTCATATATTTTGAATATATTTAACATTTGCTTACTATTTTTCTTGTCTTTTAATTTTTAAAACAGTCTGTCTACCCCACAGAGGGGCTTTGGTAGATAGATTCAACAGTTCTTTCTTTTCTACTATCTACTGAAGACTAAAAAAATTTCAGCAATCTTTCTGAGGCTCACCTGTCTTATTTCAACCTGTCTTATTGTGAAATATATATATATTACTAGCTGTACCTGGCCACGCGTTGCTGTGGTTCAGTCTGGTTAAATGGAAAAGAAATAAAAGAGAAAGTGCACGTTTATGTCACAGGTGTGACATCTATATAATAGTAGGTATATAAAAACACGTGCGTATTCGAATGCAACATTGTGTCAAAATTTCGAAGCAATCGGTGAAGAACTTTCTGAGATTTAAGATTTTGAACAAACAAATATTTACATTTTTATTTATATAGATATGCAATATTTGCCCTGATCGCCTCAATTAATCTCTAAGACTGAGGGTCAGACTGATAAATTTTATGATAAATTTCATTTTTAAGGGATTCTAGCTCTATTCTCATATACCAAGTGGCCAATTATCTTAATATAATTAAGTCATACAGTTGTGCAAAATTTGTAATTATATATGTTATTTTATTTTACTGCCTTTATTGTTTTTTCCTTGATAATTAATTGTTGCATTAAACTATTTTTGTTTTTGTTTTTTATTATAAAGGCTTGTCAAAGACTGTAATAATGATATTTGAGCTTATTTGATTTTGTAATATAGCATTGTAGTTCAGTTCTTAAATTTCATATTTTTCCCTTCATAAAATGTAGCATTTAAAGGATCCTTTCCTTTCCTTTTTCTCCCGAATGATGGTAATGATGCTATCTGGAGAAATGATTGATTTTGAAGGTTCTCAAGTTAAATAATAACTTTATTTTTAAGGAAGTTTGGTAAATATGTTATATGATTTATATAAGTTATTTCCAAAATAACTTACAAGCTCAGTAATTGGTAAGCTTTTCATTTGGAGGTATATTTCACCCTTATGGCACTTCTTTAAATAAAGACCTAGGAAAAAAGAGAGCAGATTGGAATGATGGTACATGAGAAAAAGGAATGTTAAATCATTGAAACTGAATCTGCTACATCCCTTCCCACATTTGCAGTTACTATTTATGAGGGGACTTCATTTTTGTTGAGATAATTGAGGTCGCAAAAGGTTAAATCAATGGCTCCAATCTAGCTTACAGCCTCTATCTTCATGTCTTCTATTTAGTTAAAAAAAGAAAAAAACAGGTGTGCTTTCAAACTCTGTGACAAGCATTATGTCGCCTTTGGGCTTTTGCTAACATTTAACAGAGAGCTCCCTTTAATTAAAATAACAAATCTAAGCATTGATTTTCTAGATCTATTTTGATCTAATCTGGGACTGGATCATAACATGAAGACCACATTTATTGTTCTGATAGATAAACTCTTAAGAAGGGTGAATAGGAAATGCTTGCTTTTGCTTGGTGATATCATAGCAATTTTGGATAACATCAACCATACTAGTCTTCTGGATCATGATTCTATTCCTACATTAAGGGTTCCCTTTTATTATATTTAACTGGGAGTGTTTGTCAGAAGCTATGAAACTAGATGTCCCCTCCATTCTACTTCTCTTTCCCACCACATCAAAGGTGCCAAGCTTTGACATTGGTTCTTGCTTGGACAAAATTGCAGTACTAGAACTTAATTCTGAGAAGTCAAAGGGGTTGATGGTCTGGGAAGATTGTGGCCAACCAGTAGGGATTTTTGCTACTCCAGAGTGGGGCATTTCTTCCCATGAATGAACAAGTGCCTACTTTGACCCTACTTTGTTTTGAGAGCTGTGTAGGTAAGCTTTAAATCATATATCCCTAATTTGTCAATGATGCCCCTTTTGGGGGAGGTCTAATCTGACCATAGTGATCCATGTGCTCTTTAGTACATATTTATATTATGCATTCTTTAACCTTTAGCCTTCTTTCCATAGAAACTGTTTTAGACAGCTATCTAAATTTTAGCTTGATGTCGTGGTTTATATTTCTTTTATTTATTATCTATTTATCAAATTTAGAAACCACCTATCTCTCTCATGGAGGGATTCTGGGCAAGTCACAATTTTATGTAATATTTGACTTTGATTTTCATCTTGTTTTTGAAGTTTGTTTTATGATATTAATTGATGTCATTGACTATGATGTACTAAATATTGTAATCTCAAAGCTACAATATAAAATATTGCATATAGATGTGTCATATAGCAATTACAAATAACTAAAATTCTAACCCTAATCTTATTACAGGGGTATCGGAAGAATAAATGAATGGGGGATGAAATGATATTGTTTTTACCATCTTCTACTTGACCAAAAGTTAATTACTGTCAAGGGCATTAATAATAACTGATCACCTGACTGATTGGTCACCACAATGTAAAAAAGATGTTGAGACTCTAGAAAGAGTACAGAGAAGAGCAACAAAGATGATTAGGGGACTGGAGGCTAAAGCATATAAGGAACGACTGCTGGAATTGGGTATGTCTAGTTTAATGAAGAGAAAGACGAGGGGGGACATGATAGCAGTGTTCCAATATCTCAGGGGCTGCCACAAAGAAGAGGGAGTCAGGCTATTCTCCAAAGCGCCTGAAGGCAGGACAAGAAGCAACCTAGAACCAAGGACAAACTTCCTGACAGTTAGAACAATTAACCAGTGGAACAACCTGCCTCCAGAAGCGGTGAACGCGCCAACACTGGAAGTTTTTAAGAAGAAACTGGACAGCCATTTGTCCGAAATGGTATAGGGTTTCCTGCCTGAGCAGGGGGTTGGACTAGATGACCTCCAAGGTCCCTTCCAACTTTATCATTATTATTATTATGATATTTATTTGAAGGACTGCTGAAATAACTGGCCCATGTAGGAGTCTGATGTTTAAAAAATACTCTAACCTAGGTGACTGCTACTATTAATCCAGCACATAGCCAGAGATCAAAATTCATTTTTGTTAGTGCTAATGTAATGTCAGTACAATTTTTTATTTAAGCAAGTAGCTTTATAGTTTGCTTGCTTGGCAATATAATTATTTCTTTTGTAATAATACATTTCTGTTAAGTTTCATTATATGATAAAAATAGACAGGAAACAAAAGTTAGAAAAACAAGAAAGAAAATAATGCAAAAAAAAAAGAAAATTAATAACTTCTGACATTCATTGCTTAGATTATAAAAAATAATACAACCTCAGCCTTTTGCTTTACATTTCATAACATTTCAAGCCATTTCTATAATGATAAAACCATTCTAATCATTGAAACCTAAACTCAAAGTTTCATTTTTTTCCAGTTTTGAGCAAAAGGTTCAGCAGTGATTTCCACATAGAAACAAAACTAGATAAATTATTTTCTTTAATTAAAACAAGTCAATTTTGCCATCTTTGCTAACTCCATCACATTTCCATCTGCTCTTCCATTGTGGGAATCTGTGTGCCCTTTTTGTGCATATAACATTCTTGTTGCTGTCAACTTAAGCTATACAGTTACTTATTGTGCATGGCATGGCAGAATAAAAGCATTCAGCTGTAGGGAATGCCAGTGGTAAAACAACATTATCTGTGGAGAGGCAAAGAGAAGAAGATTGGTGAAAGCAGAACTACATCATCATGGCATAAAACCTTGTCCATTTTGTGCATAACATGATCACTGTCCTTGTGATGTAATTCAGCTGCATTTTTAAATTGCATTGTTAGATTTCTCCACTCCACCCCATATTGCCTTCTACTCTTTAATGTTGATTACATTAACATCTTTGCTGATTTTCAGATGCTTTCAATATAGGAATTTGCAGATCAGCTAATAATCAAGCCTGCTTCAGAATGTGATCCATGGTAAACTCGTGTTAGAAAAGCTTTTAAAATGATTATCATGCTGTTTATTCTTAAACATTGTTTATTGCACCAAGATGCAATATTTACAAAAAATCTGCAGTGAAAGCTATACAGTTGAATTTAAGTGAATGTTGTTAATTAACTGTGACCTATTATTTATCTGGTTGTACAATTGGAATCAATTTTCCATTTAAAGATCAGTCAGGTAAGAGAGTGTAATTGTGTTTCCTTCTCCTCTTATTTCTGTTCAGCTAGAGAAATGCATGAACTCATACTTTCATATATCTTTTTAGGTATATCTTGAAAGATTGCTAACTTATGCAGAGATAGATATTTGTCCATCAAACTGGAAAAGAATTGTGCTTGGTGCAATCCTACTTGCATCCAAAGTTTGGGATGACCAGGCTGTGTGGAATGTGGACTACTGTCAGATCCTGAAAGATATCACAGTTGAAGACATGTGAGTTTATTGTTCAGCCCCATGTTTGCTTATTTGTTTGATAACTGATGCAATGGGAAAGTTTCTAAAGAGGCTGAGAAATTTATTTATTAAATCTATTTGCTGCCCATGTCATTTTGAAGTGACTCTGAGTGGCTTACAACATTAGAAATAAAACAGCCTCTAGACATACAGAGCAGTATGATTAATAAAAGGTAGTTCAGTCTGGGAACAAAGAAAGTTGGGGAACACAGATTCAAACTTTCAGAGAAATTCCATTTTCATCAGTGGAATGGAATGGAATACTTCATTGGCCAAGTGTGATTGGATACACAAGAAATTTGTGTCTGGTGTATAAGCTCTCAGTGTACATACAAACAACAAGGTAATATAATCAGTGTACATACAAACATACAAACGTACATACAAACAATAAGTGTACATACAAACAACAAGGTAATATAAGCATAAAATACTAATAGGAGAAGGTAGTAGAAAAAATGATAAGGATAATAATAATACAGCCATTCTAGTGCTGCATGGGTAAAATAAATTCCTATCACAGTTTTTGTAAAAGTCTTGATATGGATCTCATTGTATAGATTCTTAAGTCCAAATCTTTTCATTACTATAATGAGCTATAAATTGAATTAATCATTGTGTTTAAAGGGATTGTTAGCATGTTGAATTATTTTTGAAGGAATTTCTTTAAATAGTGGCTTATATGGGTAATTCTCAACTTACGACCATAATTGGGAACAGAATTTTTGTTGCTAAGCAAGGCAGTTGTTAAGTGAGTCAAGCCAGATTTTATGACCTTTTTTGCCATAGCTGTTAAGCAAATCACTGCAGTTGTTAGATAAAGCATGTAGTCATTTAGCAAATCACATTTCCCACTTTGACCTTGCTTGCCTGGAAGCTGGCTGGAAAGGCTGTGAATGATGATCACATGATCCTAGGATGCTGCAACTGTCATAAATGCATGCCAGTTGCCAAGCACATGAATTTTGATCACGATATCAAAACTTTGAATGGTAATTAAATTAATTGTCATAAATTGAAGACTACGTGTAAATACAAATACATGAGATAAACAACGTTAGATTCAATCAAATTAGCTGAACCTAGGTTCCTTTGGATAAACAAATTATGGCTTAGGTCATAATGAAATAAATTTAACTAACTTAGTTTATGTCTAACATTTCTGATAACTAAACAAATAAAAGCTTGTCAATTCCAGCCAACCATATGTAAGAAAAGGATAGGGTATGTCTCTAGTAAAGAGGGCAATATTCCATAATATTATATGGTTAGTGATTATGAAAGACATCATTTTCATTTAAACGTATAAGGAAGATAGACACAAAGTGAAGAAAAACTAATTTTCCAGGAGTTTGCTATAAAAAAAAACTGTTACATTTTATTTGTTCGATATTCACTTGGCTCAGCCTCTTGTGACTTGAGATAAATAAAAATTTTGTATTTTTTCTGTTCTTTATTTCTCAGGAATGAATTGGAGCGCCAGTTCCTTGAGTTGGTGCAGTTCAACATCAACGTTCCCTCAAGTGTTTATGCTAAGTATTATTTCGATTTGCGCTCCTTAGCAGAAGCAAACAACCTGAGTTTTCCTTTAGAACCCCTCAGCAGGGAAAGAGCATGTAAACTTGAGGTGAGACTCATGATCATTTTACCTTTTGAACATTACAGTAAGCCCTCCTTTTATTTTACACCAATTCCCAAATGCATCAAATTATAATTTTGTTTGTTACCACCAGAAAGTATTGATCTGTGCTAATTTGCTGCCTTGAGAGTCTTTTCAAAAATTATTATCCATTATTCTCTACTCCAGCCTCATTTCCCAAATGATGTAGAGTTTATTGGGAACAGTTTATTTTCATTCATGTCTTGGATTACTAAGCAGACTGTTTAAAAGTGCATCTATAAAGTTTAATCAACCATGATGTATTCAGGCAGTAGGGTGAAGAGAGTTGGGATCCTCAGCTTTTTTTTTTCATGACCTGGAGAAAGGAAAGATAGATTTGTTTGATAGATTTGCGTCCTACCACTCTTATGGAAGCTCAAGGCAGCATCCATAGATTCCATCCTCTGCTTCTTTTTGGTCTTGTGGAGTAAATTGGACTGGAAGAGGATGAATGACCCAAAGTCATCCAATCATCTGCCATGATTGGAGGATGTCCCAGCTCCTAGTCCAATATCTTAGCTACATCTTACTGGATTCCATGCATTTGTGTTACTAGAATATATTTTGGTTCAGGCACCAGAGTCTTGACACACACTTGGATGTGCTGTAATCAGGGCTTTTTTTCTCATAGAACGCCCAGAACAGAGTTCCAGCACCTTTTTTGGATGGAGCCTTGTAGGGTAGGCAAGGCGGGTTGTATGACGTGTGTGAGTTCCGGCACCTTTTTTTTTTTTTAGAAAAAAAGCATTGGCTGTAATGGTAAAGGACCTACTTTGAATCTGGAGGTTTCACTAAATCAGGTAATTGTGTATGTTTGACCCTCTTCATTCTCCATTCTCTTACAGGCCATATCTCGCTTGTGTGAAGATAAATATAAGGAATTCAAGAAATCTGCAAGGAAACGATCAGTCAGTTCAGACAATCTGGTTGAAGTTAGATGGTCTCCTGCTGTTATCTCCTAACGTGAAATATGTAATACAAGACTCTAGAAGTACTATTTCTATCAACTTTGGATGGGAGGGTTGGTTTTGGTGATTTTTTTCTTCTTATTTTTAGATCTGCCTTTACAGTGCCTCCCCTTTTGTGTAGCACACAAGAATAACTATAGGGACTCGTTAAAAAGAACTTTGAAAGAAGATTTGTTTTGTTGTTTTTTACAACTCCTCTGCTTTTTGATGGGCAGAAGGCAAATACAAATATGTGCTTAGAGGATGAAACCTCAGAAACCAATACAAGTATCATTAAAAAGGAGGAGGAGAAAGAAGAAAAGGCTCTTAACAGCAGTATGAAAACCAACATCACAAAAGAATGTTGAAAGAAGCATAATAAGAAAGAAGTTGGGCATGTTTTGAGATCCTCTTGAATATCTTCTAGTGGTTTCGCATACTTTTTTGCTTTTTGATCGAGGTTGCTTTCTCCTCTGTAACAACCATGGAGAAGGCAATACTGTGGTAGCACAACAGGAGCCTCTGATTAGAAAGTCTGTTTCTTTTGCCCTCAAAGTTGGATATGCTTTTGTTCATAAGCTGTTTTATTAGCTCCCCACCTTTAATTCTTATGGATATTGTTGTTTCTTGTGTGCTTTTACTGTATTTTTGGTAAAACTATTGACACTGCTGAACCCAAAGTATATAAAATCAGGTGACTGATCATAATTTTATTACCCCCTCCCTCCCCCTCCCCCTTGTTTAATTTATAGCAACCAGTTTCATGATGTTGCTATGACGTGCATTGTCAGTACTGGTGCTTTGTATTATATGTGGCTGCATGTGCCTTCCTACCTTTTCTCAGATAGGTTTATTTTTTCTTACTGTAAGTTGTTGAAAAGATTCAGGTGACAGTGAAGCTTGGGCCAATGTGCAGACATTGCATTATAGTAGGTAGAATAGTTCTTTTGCAAGGTTTTTTTTTTAAATCATATAGAGATTGGATAGAATCAAGTGAGAGAAATGCAACGAAAGACTAGAGAGTTAGAATCTTCTTTTATATGTCCCAAATAGTTGACTTTCTTCACTTCCTGGTTCAATGTTGCAAGCAATAGCCTCAAGTTTTTTATATGACTACTTTAAATGGAAACCAATCTGTTTATATAAAAGAGGGAAAAAAAATAAAAAAAAAGTTTTTGTCTGGGATCCATAGAAGAAAAGAGAATTATATGTGTATGCACAGACAATGAATTTTTCAGTGTATAGGAATTTAAACAAAATGCAAACTGTGAAGAAAATTTAATTGCTTTGTTGATTATTTTTTTAACTTTTTTTTTTCTGGTTCTCATCCTTCCTATCTTTTAATGGGATAAGCAAATCAAATACCGTATATATGCAGTACTTGTGCTCTATACAATAATTGAGTTTGCACATATGAGAAAGGTGCCATGTTATCATAAAGAAAAATATAAAGACAACCAACCAGCCAAAATCAGCTTCAGTTTCATGACTGTGGGATTCACTTGTCATGTTCCCTTCTGCAAAAAACAAACAGGGATGTTTTGATTTTGATTTTGGTGTATTGCTTCAGCAAAACAGAGAAAGCATATTTCACCAGGATTTTTTCCTGCATCTCTTTACTATCTCTTGTACTTCATATCTACTAGGCTTTTAACAAGGGCCTTGTTAAGGATAAACATTTATCTCTATATTCCAGAAGTATTCCCATTAGTTTCAGTGGCAGTACAAGCATATTGATTTGGATCCCATTAAGCCTTAAAACCATGATTACAGGTAGTTTACTTATAGACAATGAATACCCTTATTTTCATGAAAGAACACATTCATGTGGCTTAATTTTGGAAGAAAGAAACACGTTCCTGATCTCAAAGGCCTGGAATCAAGAAGCTTGCTATTTTTTTAATGGATTTTTTTAAAGTGTCTTAATTTCAGCAAAATAGCAAACAGTGAGAAAAAAGAATTGCCACTTTTAAATTGAAGTGGACTAGATCAACATTGTTAAAAAGAATTGCATATTGAGATTTTGCAGAACAGTTTCTTTCCAGCAAAAAAATAATAATTAAGCAGGTGGATTTAGGGAAAGGGATGACAGAAAGAGAAAAGTTTGCTTTATGTAAAGTTTTCAATGCATTTATTCTAATTTTGTGAAGTTTATTAAGCAACCTTAAAGATTGTATAGTCTGTTTATTGTATGTATGTACATACAGTCTGATACTTAAGATTTCAAGTGGATTCCATAAAACCTTGCTCAGTCTTGTTTAGACTGTTGGATATTGTTTTAGCTTTGTGCAATGGATTCTACCTCTGCATAGGAGAATTTTCAACATTCTTCAACTAGTACTGATTCTGTGATTTAACTTGGTTATGTTTCTTGCACTACAAATTAAAAAAGGAAATATCTTAAATGTGTTTTCTTATTATTAATATTATGTTATAGCAAGCTACTTTTAAAAATTCTTTAAAAATAGAATTCTTGCCCTAGCTCCTGCCAGCCTAGCAGTTTGAAAACATGAAAATGCATGTAGATAAATAAATACCACTTCAGTGGGAAGGTAACAGCATTTTGTGTATCTCAGCATAAAGTCCTGCTGGCCACATGACCATGGAAAATATCTTTGGGATCTGCTTCAATTAGTTCTTCCAAGAAAGCAGAACTCTTGAAACTGGCATTGTCTCAAAAGGAACTTTTATTGAGAGTTAATGACAGCAGGAAGGTAAAGCAGGATCTAAAGTTTTGCACATGAAAGATTGCATTAAAAGTGCCCTTTCAAACCCCTCCTCAATGTCCAACCGGTTGGTTTGATTTAGCCAATCCATAGATGTTAAATTGTTGTGGGAAACCAGGGAAAAGGCACCGTTCTCAAGTCTGTCAGTTCCTCCACGGCTCCATCCCATCCAACTGAAGATAAGGCAGATGGCTGCAGGCACATTCCTCCCTCCTTTCACACCCCAGGAAAGGTACTTCAAAGAGGATAGAACAAAACAAAGGAAATTGTAGGCTCCCTGAACTATCTCCCCTCTCTCTTGGCACAAATCTTCCCCTTCCCACCAGAATGACAGCACTGAAAATGAAGTGAAATAGAAAGGCCTTGAAAATACATTGAGGGTCTGACATGTCCCCCCCTTAAAATGAGAGCAGCTCCATCTGGAGAAGAGAAAACAATAATAGGGATAAAATAGAAAATATCAGTCAGTCGGGTTTGTCAGGATAATGTGCATGAAAACTCTTGAGCAATCTAGGGGCCCTAACGTGCTTCTTATGTACTCACTCATTCTGAGACTGGGGAAGGCCCTTCCAAGCTACTAAGTATTAGGTTGCCCTATGATGTTTTTGTGAATCTAGGATTTCTTTAATCTCAAAATGCTGCTCACCCTCAACCATGATAGGCTGTGGGGTGGGGGCTGTCGCCGGCCTTAATGGCAAACCTATTTCAGGTTTCAGCAAACTGCAATGGAATACAGGATGGATCTGCCTCAGTGTTTTGGAGAGTTCCAGTTCCACTGTGACTGGGCTGATGATGCGTTTGATAGGGAAGGATCCCACAAATTTTGGCCCTAATTTCTTTGAGGTTTGTACGGACTGCAGGAACCTAGTGGAAAGGTATCCCCTGTCTCCTACATTGAAAGGCTTAGATTCCACCCTTTTCATATCTGCTTGGGCTTTATACTGCACATACAATGTGTTTCCCTCATTCCCAAATTGAACTATTCTTTAACTCATTTGTTTAATTAAATTATTAATAAATTAGGTTTATACATATGCCTAATTAAATATTTTGAAACCCCAGTCTCTTTTTGGAAAAAAATGCTGCAGATGGTCTTTGTGGAATAGATACTAATTCTTGTATGTGTTGAGCTTTCTGCCTATTAAGAGCTCATGGGAAAAAAATCATGTCATAAGGTATTGCTCAATAGTAACTTTAATGGCTACAAAAACACATAAAACTATGGTAAGATGTCACAAATCATTGGATAACAGATAACAGAATAAAATTCCCATAGGTTGAAATATGCAGGTTCATATCACGTTGGCTCTGAGTCCTTCTCCTTCATGGCAAACAAAATTACAATATTTTTGAGTGAATAACTGAAAACATAATCAGACACAGAGAAGCACAGATTCTCCCCATTTCTTTTCTACCTTAGATATTTCTCAGCAACCAAGATGGAATAGAGATGGGTAGATGAAAGGCTGAGGAGTGGGAGAAAGGTTTAATCTCTGGATTTTAAAGTCAAGAATTCTTAGCAAAAGTTGACAGCTGAGATTCAAAATGTATACAGGAACTCCACTTTCTTTGTGAGATGATGTCAGTCTTAGCAGGCAGACCAGCCATGAAATGCTGCTCAATAAGCCAATTCTACTTTATTGTAAAGCCACATTAACAGAATCTTGCAAATCTGAAAGTTTGATTTTCCTGCTTTATGACCTTTATGACCAGATAATAATTTAGGGAGGGTCCTCCTGAGCCTCTTGCTCCACCCACTAGGCAATTGTGGGCTATGCTCCCAAGGTCATTCCTATATACCATTACAGATGTTCATTCTAGAAAATTATACAATAGGCCTTGTATTTGTGAAGAGCCTGGTGCTGTTTCAGTCATGCCACTCTGAATGCACCGATTTCATTAAGGAAATGAAAATAATCTCATTAAAAAGAAAAATAAGGAAAATAACTGAAATAATAAGGAAACAGAAGGAAAATGCCCAAACAATATGCACATACACACACACACACACACACACACACACACACACACAAACCTTATTTCAAAGGCCTGTTAAACTTTATAAAAAGTAGAATTCTACTGCCTTGTATATTTTTAGAAAAAAGGTCCACCTGTTTTCTGGGAAAGGATAACTGCTAGTTCGTTTTTCATTCTTGCTGATCATTTTACAAAACACAAATTTACTAGGTATTAAATACTCAGGTTTACTCCCACCAAATGAGGAAGACATAACATTTATATCTGGAACAAATTTATCTTCTTATATTGTATTCTCTGCCTTTCAGTCTTTAAAAGTGCTAAAGAGCAGTATTGGACATTGTTTGAATTCTTTTAAGAAAAAAGAGTTTCTGTACAGGCACAGTTCCCATTTATAGGAAAGACCATTTAGAGAAAAACAGAATTTTATGGCAAGCTGATTTGTTTGGGGCAACCTGTTTGTTTACCTTCATCTTTCAGTTTTTGGCTTTCTGGCAAAAACTGAAGCTCTGTTAGGATTCCATCCTTCTATCTCTTGAATCCAGAGCTAAAAAACACCAAACACCAAAGTTTCTTCACAAAGTTAAGTACCGTATGCATTGAACTTCCCTCTTTTTAACAGCACAAATGGAGGTTTCAAATGTATAAAACAGTCTTATTTTACGTCTTTCTTTCAATACGTATAAACTGTGCTTCATCAACAAATGAGCAAAAATCTATGGAGATTCTTAGTCATCCAAGTCATGGTTGTCCCAAAGGTGTTTTTTTCAAAAGGCAACTGGGCTTTCTTCATTTTTCCATGAAAACATTTTGCTTCTTATCCAACAATCTTCTTCAGTTTTGAAGAAGACGTTTCTTGAATGAGAAGTGAAATTTTTCTTCAAAGAAAAACAAAGTCCAGTTGCCTTTTGAAATAAACCTTTGGGAAAATCAGCAAAAAGATCATAAGTCGTACTTACATATCTGTATATACTGTAAATGTGGGCTGGTTCCTGAGCATCTGAAATGCATCCACATGACCATGGCAAATGCTGGTGTTTGGAACTGGATCATTAGTACTTTTAGAGGTTCCATTGTAACACTGAATGGCTGCTAAGCTGTAAGTCATAAGTCAAGCACTGCCAAACTCTAGAACCTAGACAAATTAAAACCCTCTCTTTGTTCTTAAAGTTTGGGCTAACCAACATTTGAAGTGTTGGGTCAGGTGATCCAGTTTTTTTTATTTCAAAATATTTTGATTTAAATTCAGATCACCCATTCTGATCATTCTGGAGATGTCCTGTGTTTCAAGCATCATAAAGTCTGTACTGAGAATTTGAGCTTGAAATACTTCCAGGATAGTTAGAACAACTGGAGCAGAGTATTTCAGGCTCAAATTTGGTGCAGAGTGTTTCAGGCTCAAAATGTTTCAAATCCATAATGTTTTTGCGCATTGCTAATGCTGGGCAGGTTAGGCATCATCAAGGTTAGAACCTTTTTGGGGGGAAGAAAAGAAGCCATTATGGAAAAGGAAACATGCGGCAACATCCATGAGTTCTGTGTCTCACCGCTTAATCCAAATGGCTTTGGGGAATTGTCTTTCATATCCATTTCAAAGACTTTGGCCGATACAGAGACAATATCATCAGGACCCCTGGCAGCTGGTGTTGCTAAATCCTCTTTCCTTGTGATACTCATTTCTCTCACCCGGGCAAAGAAGGCTTGTTCTATTATTTCTTCTCCTCTCAATTTATCTTTCACCGCTGAACTATCCCAGTAATTCTAGGAACCTGGAATGCCCTCAAGAGGGTAAGGAAAGCTGACAATAGCCAGGATAATCCCTGTTGCCTTTTGTCTTTGTGCAGTTGTTGGGGCAGAGGTGAGAGCAACAAATGTCCTTAACTACGTTTTCTAAAGAAGACTGGCTCCGCTCTGCAAAGTTGTGTAGCTCTGTTTCATTCCACTCTCTGGCCATCTTTTCAGTGTTTCTCATTTGCTCTCTCTGTTTAGATATCTGTACGTTGTGAGAATGCAGAGATTTTTGTTATAGATTCAGTAACTGGGCAATCACGTTTCAGCATGGAGAATTCAGATGCATTCAGTTTTCTCCTCATTGCTCTAAGCTACAATGTGACGATTATAGGTGAGTACATAAGACTACATTATTTGTAAGATATATACTTGTGTTTAGCTGTTTAAAGGATTAGTTAGTTAACTTTTCAACCATTACTTGTTACAATGAAGTTGTCTGAAGGACAGGGTCTTAATAAATCATGCATGATAAACTTGTTTAAACCTGGATTAACCTAATAGGAATGGTGCAGAATAATGATTGAAAAAGTAAGTCATCTGAATAAATGAGTGGGTATTTTTCCATTATAGTCATTATTTTCTTTGTAGGTTTGGTGATTTACTAGAACTCAAGTATTCTATCTACAATCAATAAATGTATATTGTTATTATAGTCACAGACCAGCAAATAAAAATATTAACATAATAATAATAATAAAAAATATTGCGAATGGTGATGGATTAACAGTGGGCTGTTAACATTTGCCTAATTTCACATACAGCATAGCAGAATTTGGCCACATTCAGAGAAACTACTTTATACTGATCTGATAACAGTAGTTGCACATAAAAACGATCAGTATTTCCCACATATTTTATTCGGTTAAGATGTTATAAATTGAATCTGTGAGTCCTTACAGGATATGCAGTATAGTATGACGTGAGCTATAGTTTCAATGGCCCCCTGTCCATAGGGACACAGTCTCAGTACATATGTTTTTTTTTTATTGGTCCTCCAAAACTGCTGTGTGTAATAAACATTCTGAAGAGGTCCAGATTAATTTGGGGGGCAGATAACTAATGTATACCTTTCCTTTTCAAGAAAAAAATTATACCAGAATTTGTGCCAGGCCAAATGATTGACCATTTCATATCTTCTCCAAGAAAATGCACCTTTTTCAAATTAAACATGAGTATTCTTATTCATGTTTGGGACATAGAAGTATTTCAAAGACATTTCTAAACTAATCACAAACTTGTTTTACCAACAAGTTTGTTGGAGGTTCTAAAACATCCAGGTCATGGTTATCGCAAAGGTGTTTTTTTTTTTTACCAAAAAGCAACTGGACTTTTAAGGTTTTTTTCTTTGAAAAACATTTCATTTCTCTTTCAAGAACTAAAGATCCATGAACTGAAGAAGCTTCTTGGATGAGAAACAAAATATTTTCAAAGAAAAAAAAACCAGTTTGCTTTTGGAAAAAAGCACCTTCACATTTTATTCATTTTTAAAAAATTATGTCCAATAAACATTTTCATCTGCTCCTTCCATCCAGCAATTAAACTTGCTAGTTCAGAAACCAAAGAAGATTAAGACATGAGCATGTACTAAAATCTTGCCTTAAACATCTCTCCAATATTTCTTCCATGGGCTTGATAACTATCAATTTTAGAGCTGAGTCAAAGTTTCTCTTGGAGATGTTCACACATATTTGATATTTTCATAACAAACTTTTATAAGAAATCTGCTGCCCAATTATTAACAATCCCCCCCCCATTTTTGTTATTCCTTTGTAGGAAAGATTTGGTTAGCAACTGTGATCTTCTTGAGATTTATGGTGATATTCTTAGCAGCCTATCCTCTCTATCAAGATGAGCAAGAACGCTTCATCTGCAACACATTGCAACCAGGATGCTCTAATGTGTGTTATGATCTCTTTGCTCCAATATCACACTTTCGTTTCTGGCTGATTCAGACTTTGTCTGTCCTCCTTCCTTATGTTGTTTTTGGTGTCTGTGTATTACACAGTGTGGACAGACATGTTGTAAAGGCCTCTTCCTCCCCTTATTCTCCGTTCAAAGAAAGGAAGACTTTAACTGGTTGCAAAATTACAAAGAACTTCAAAAGTGCAGCAAGAAAGAGAAAAATTGGCAGGAGAAATGAAACGGCTGTCCTGGATTTTTCCAGGGCTTACATAATTCATCTTATTCTGAGAATATTGATAGAGTCTGGCTTTGGAACTGGTCATTACTATCTCTTTGGATTTTTTGTTCCGAAGCGTTTTTCATGTGACCACTTTCCTTGCACGAGTTTTGTTGATTGCTACATCTCAAGGCCAACTGAAAAATCCATCATGATGCTTTTCATTTGGGGACTTGGTGGCTTCTCCTTTCTTCTTAGTCTTGTTGACCTAATCTTTGCTTTGCGAACCAATGGTGTAAGAAATCATAGAAATAAGCTTCTGTTGCAAAAGTTCAACTCAGAAGAGGAAGGTAGTCCTGACCAGCAGCAAGATGACAATCCAGGCAGTATTCATCATGGAAGCATGGCCATCCCTGATGGTGGTGGAAAATGCTTGCTTGCTTGTGAGGCTACAGAGGACTGTCCTTTTCCAGCTACCATGACCCTTCAGCAGACAATTGGCTGTCATCTCAACTGCAATCATAATAAGCTCTGTAATGAATCTACCAATCAAGATCTGCTTTTCAATGAAGCTAAACCACAGGAGAGCCCATCTGAGCAATCAAGAAATGAGCACCAGTCCTACTTTGCCAAAGAACCCTTGGCTTTTAAATCCCAAGAGGTATGCCATCATAGGTCTCATTCATTTGCAAGTTATGACAAGTCCTCAGTTCATTATTCTACTCTGAAGAGAAAGACCTCTGATATTCCGTCTGTCTGTGATAGTTCTCCGTGCTCAAAATCCAAAAAATCTGAATGGGTATAGAACGCCAGGAACCAATATAGTAGTTAAAAAAAATCTCATGGATCACAAAATTAAAAGTGTCATCATGCTTACATTATAATTAAATGGAATTCTTTGGTTGAAAGAAGAGCTTTGAAAGAATATACTTTCATATTAAATGAGCTTTTGGAATGGGATAAAACAACTACTCTCAGAAACTTGTAGAGATTCTGAGTGACACCAGGATCACTATTTCTGTTGTTTGTATTTAGCAAATGCTATAGAATTTAAGCGGTACATTTCCTCATTATTGGATGAGAAACCGCTTAAATTCATTGCTTTAAAGATGGAAAATAATAGGGGGAAAAAGAAAAATATTGGTGTTCAGTTTTGTATCATGGTATTTGTGACTGCTGCAATCATAATCTCACCTTTTATGATATTACTGTCCTGTCATGGTCTTTGTATGAAGAAAAGGTCCTAGTTGCAACCCTCACTGAAAATACAACACTAAACTACCACTGAAAATCCTGTTTTGTGTGTTCTTACCTTGTTAGAGTTATAAATGGGGGGGGGGGAGGAGCTCTCTATTTATTGTACTATCCATATATAATTATAGAATAGTTTGCCTTGTTCCATACCAAATCTCAATTTTGAATCCAGAAAATCTGTATGCTAATAGCGGGGTGAAAATTTGGAGAGGATACTGGTCTTCATATTGTATAATTGAGCACACATCTTTATTTGGTACCTGAAAGAAAGCGTTTTGCAGCTGTTGATTTCCGAAAGCTAATTTATCATTCCACAATGTTTACATTTTACATGAAATGTTTTATCTGTGGTATTCTCTACATCAGTGTTTCTCATCCTTGGCAATTTTAAGATGCCTGGAGTCCAGACATCTGAAAGTTGTCAAGATTGACAATCACTGATCTAGAGGTATTGGCCTTCAACTCTAAGCCAAAAGATATAAAGCATGGGAAGAACAGCAGGATGTGGAACCTAGTCTAATCCTTGAAATACCATAATCCAAAAGTTGAGCCAGACATCTTAAAATCTTCAGTGCTTTATAGTATCTTCTATTTTTGGCCTTGAAACAGAAATGATTCAAATGTTTGCAAAATAACAAATAAGTGCAGGCTTAATTATATTGCAAAATGTATTGAAAACAATCTATTTTTTGTTGTTCTCTTTTCAGTTCTGCTACAGAGACATAGCTTTGGGCAATACAGATCCAATTTAATAATGAAACATTTGCTCAGGTGTTCATTGGATGGCATATATAGGGCTTTCTCATGTGTTCTATAGTCATTAGCCAAAAGACATGGAGGATGGAAAGTCTCCTTCTATTATTAAATTCTTGTATGTACATATTGATGCATTTATCTTAATATCTGGATTGGAGGAGAGAGAGTCCCCGACTTACATCCAGTCATGTAGTACCATTTGAAGTTATAGCAGCACTGAAAAAAAATAGCTTACAAACAGTCCTTGCAGTTATGAGCATTACAGCATCCCCAGAGTCACATTAAGATTCAGGCACTTGTCAACCAATATGTACATATGATGGTTGCAGCATCCCATGGCCAAATGATTGCCATTTGCAATTTTCCCAGCCAGCTTCCAGCAAGCAAAGTCAATGAGGGAAGCAGATTTGCTTAACAATCGCTTAATGACTATGGCAGAAAGGTGGGCATGACTCATACAGGTGGGCACGACTCACTAAACAACTGCTTTGCTTGGCAATGGAAATTCTTGTCTCAGTTGTGGTTGTAAGTTGAGGACTACCTATACACACAGATTTTATGATCCTCAGGAATGAGGCTTGAAATGTCCTCCATTAAAAAAAGGGGGGGGTCAACCCAAAGAAAAAAATAGGATCCAAATGCAGACTTGATTTCTATATTTTCCCATATAATTCTGTGATAACTATTTGTTTTTCCCTTTCAAGCAAAGATTATGTACAAGTGACATATAATGTACCGGAAAAAGAATTTGCACCCTTTTAAACAGTATAATTTAATTCCTAACCCTAAAAGCCTACTTCCAAAATGGAAAATATTATTAAATTCTACTTTCCCAGAACACACAAAGTGCAAACAAAGTGTGTTTAGCGTGATGGCAAAGAATGACTTTTTAAAACCACTTGTCTTGTTCAAAAGCAGGATTTTAAAACCATTCTAGTCACATTTGCAGAAAGATTGGGAAAATATATGTTGTATATGTTGGTTCTGTCTATGGAATATGCATGGTCTATGCTGTGTGGAATTTTGCTTAATGGTTGAGAAGTCACTGCAAGCATGCTAGTTTGAATACTTTCTTCAGCAGTGGCGCATTTATTTGCAGAATGAAAAATTGCATTAACATTATTTTATCATTATTTTTTAGAAGTGTTTAAGCTTATGCTTATATCTGTTCATCATCTTTCATTAATGATTAAAGTCTGAGTGGCTGATACATAGCAAGAAGTAGTTTCTTTTTTGAGATATATCTTGTCAATAGTTCTGATTATTTGAGGTGATGAAGTATTAAAAATACTTGCATAATTCACAGATTTTGCAGTTTGATAGAGGAGAATATTTGTAGTTCAGTGTTGAAATTGATGATGGGTAACAAACTGTCTGCAAGAAAACAACCAAACTCAGAGAGCACAAAGGATCCTTCATTTTGCAGTTCTCATGGTATATAGAAAAAAAGTAGAGTTTCCAGGAATTCAGCTTGCAGTGAACAATTTTTCACCAAAAGAAACTTCTGTATTATAACTGTGTCATGTTTCAATGTGCTCATTATGAGATCTTTGTGTAGTTTGTGTATGTGTAATTTCATGAAGGATTTTAAAAATCCTTATTAAATAATATTAATATTATTAATATTAAAAATCTAATACAAGCAAAAAAGAAGAAGAATAGACAGAAAGTGAAAGGTGCAAAGGAGAAGAAAAAAAATCCCAGAAAATAAAAAGGGGAAAAGAAAGAAAAGAAACTTGGGTGTTGGAAAAGACGAGAGAATACTATATTATGGGTAGCCAGAAAATGAATTATTGTACAAACCAAACCAAACTTCTCACTTGAGGCACAAATGAAGAGGTTAAAACCCTAATATTTTTGTGGGATCCTTAATGCTCTCTGAGCTTGGTTGTTCTAGACCAGTGATGGCAAACCTTTTAGAGACCAAATGCCCAAACCGCAACCCAAAACCCACTTATTTATTGCAAAGTGCCAGGGCTGCATCAGCATTGTGGTGCCCTCAGGAGGGTGCAGGGAGGCGCCTCTGAGTGCTGCCTCTGGCATGCAAAAACCGGGGGCGCAAAAATGGACCACCATGCTGCAAGGCGCAAAAATGGCTGCTGCCGTGCCACAGGGTGCAGATACAAGGTGCTGCACCACACAAGAACGGGGCAGGGCTAGTGAGTATCACACAGGCACTAGCCCTGCCCCATTTGCAGTATGTGCATGCTCTTGGCCCCATGTGCGCATGGACGCATGTAAAATGCTAGTTGGCCGCTTTGCCTCCTTTGTGCTGGGTGGGGCTCCTGCTCCGGGCGGCGGTGGCAGCCTGATGGACCTGCTGCTGGTGGCGGTGGTGCGCGTGCCAACAGAGAGGGTGGCGGTGGTGCGCGTGCCAACAGAGAGAACTCTGAGTGCTGCCTCTGGCACACGTGCCATAGGTTCGCCACCACTGTTCTAGACGTTTCATTACCAAACTAGGTAATTTTATCAGTGCAGTGATATTACTTAGTTTGATAATATGAAATATCCGCAAGAAAACAACTAAAGCTCAGGAAACACTAAGGACCTCGCAGTTCAACTCTGAGTTATAAATATTCTCTTCTGTCTAATATTTTTGGATGCATTATATGAAGATGCAATTCCCATGAGAGGATGATAATGCTGGGAAGAAGGAAGGAAGGAGAAGAGAGCAACAAGGAGCAGAGTGGATGACTTGATTACAACTTCAATGAATGTACCACTGAATCCTAAAAGGCTAAGCTGAGGATAAATCATTATGGAGAAAGACTATGCCATTACTAAAGAACTGACGTTGACCAAACAATCACACATTCTCACATTTATGAATACATAATTTTTCAGAAATATAAGAAAGCTTACTTTCAAGGCATCCACTGGGTAAAAAAGGATGGCTGCAACCATCTTTTCATTAAAAGTCACTAAAACCTGAGTGAAGTAAAAAAAATTCAATGAATGCTGAATGAATAAATAAGATGTCCTTTATGTATGATGTACATAACATCTTCAATTATTTTGACCCTCCCAATGAATACCCCTTTTTTACTGCAGGATAACATGGGGAATTTTGCGAGTTAATGTGCACACATCTTAAAGTTTGAGTAACCTATTAGCTGTTGCATGTCCTTGTTAGTGTCATGATAACCCCTGGGTAACCACTTCAGCATATGCTAGAATGAAAATTTATATGCTACCCATCTCACAATTGAGTAACTCTTAATATCATTCAAATGAAATGTCATTAGTCTCCTTTTCTTCTATTTCAGAAGAATATATTCACTGAGGATGAAAAGAGAATGACCAGGAAAAGCAGCTTATGGGGAAAGTACTAAATTGCTACAGTATTTTCTCTTAAATGGCTGCTTCTGAACTTTATATCATCTTCTTTAAAAACACTTCTGACTAAATAAAAGCAGACATCTGTTTTTTGTAATGACTTGATGTCTTACATTTGGTTTGTCCTTCGACTGTCTCACCAAAGACCCAAGACATTTGTTTACTTCTATTAACTGAAAAATAATTTCCTTTTACCATTTTATAGCCTGGATTGATTTGCTGCCAAATCTTTTATGCAAAGAATCAAACTACTGTTACTAAAAACTAAGCTTTTCTCTTAAATATAAAAGTTGACTGGAAGAAGAACACAGATTTTTCAGTTCTCATATTTTAGATGCCAATGCAGAATATTTGTTTAATTGAATGGATAAAGTTAACGTGCAGCTCCACCAAATTCTAAAGGGTGGTCTTTCATATTTTCTCAATCTTATCATTCAGACTTATTCCATTCTATGGAAG